GCTTGGTGGCAGGTGCCCCCTAAGCCATCCCGTCCCACTCACTGTGTCCATTTCTTATATGTCTCATCCTGACTCTTAGGATGCTGTTCAGTGTTGAAGTAAGTAGCATGCCAGTGCTGCTGCGGTCTGCTGAGTTTCTGCATCCCTGCCCTGCAGAGAAATGCCTTCCTGTCCCTTGGCACACTAAGTGCTTGTGTAAAGTTGACTTGGGGTCATATCCAGATTCTCACATTTCAGAAGACTCAGAACTCTATTGCATTGTACCTTCCTCCATTCTGACTCTGCTTCTCGGAAAGAAATGTGTTGATAAAATCACAAACAACACATGCTTAGTTGCCTGCCCTTTTTAAAGTTCTGTTTTTAAATGCAGATGTGGAATTAGAAGAAGCTATTAGAAGAAGTCTTGAGGAAATGTAATTAAAGCTATTACAACACAACATCAAGTGGCCTTGAAGAGACTCAGGAAAATGAATCCTTTGTTTTCTAAAGGAGACCAGAGATCTAGGATAAATGTGTCTGATGTGCTGTATTCTTTCTTGTGTTCAGAATCTTGTATTTGCTTTGTATTTCATGCTGTTGTGTAAAATTGAATGAAAGGAACAGAAAACTTACCAGTGCAAACATAAATCATTCTATTTATGCAATTATGGAATGGATTAATGGAAATCATGTTTTTCCAGCTAACTTAGAATTCATGCCTTTAGGTTAAAATCAGTTTTTAAAAGGAAAAACGTGTAAAGCTCTTGACTGTTGTATGTTTTCCCTCTTTATTTGTACTGTACAAATGGATCTAGTATATTTTTTTAGGAATGAAAATGAATATGAATAAAAGGTGCCATAACTCAGCTTTTTCCAGAAATTCTGTGTGTTATGTGACCCTAATGTATAATATATCTTTGAGATCATTGATTATGGGTATCAGAGGGTTAATGGAAATTGATTATAGAAACATATTCAAGCCAGTAAGGTTCTGTGTTGTCATTGCAGCTCTACGCTTGCTCTAACTAGAGATGCACATTGCTACAATAAAAACCTCTTTCAAACAATTAAAGTGAAACTTTCCATCCCTTTCATCCTTTTGTACGACTTGAAATAGGAAAATATATGCATAGAATTAACTTATTTTAATACTTGAATATTGTATATTCATGCAAACCTATTTTTAAAGGTTTTCTGGGCTTTTTTGTATGTATACTTTTCAAGAGACATTGTTGAAGGTCTAGTCTACTCAGGAATAATCCTTCACTCTTAAAAAAAAATCAGTTTCACGTTGCCTGTCTTCATTTTAGTTTTTCATTGGGTTATATCTGGTGTGATATATTTAGTTCTTAAGTGTTGGAGTTCCATTGCGAGTAAGTAAAAATCTTTTTTTTTAATTTATTTATTTATTTATTATGTATACAATATTCTGTCTGTGTGTATGTCTGCAGGCCAGAAGAGGGCACTAGACCTCATTACAGATGGTTGTGAGCCACCATGTGGTTGCCGGGAACTGAACTCAGGACCTTTGGAAGAGCAGGCAATGCTCTTAACCACTGAGCCATCTCTCCAGCCCCAGTAAAAATCTTTTATCAGTGGAAGAATAAGATCTTGATATGTATTTTTCATGTTATTTGTGCAGAAATGTCATATATAATTTTTGAGTCATAATTTGTCAATATTAAACGTATTTCTCTCGGTGGGCATAGTGGTGCATGCATTTAATCCCAGGACTTTCGAGGGAAACCTGGTCTGCACAGTGAGTTCCAGGACCGCCAGAGCTACATAGTGAAACCCTGTCTTAAAAAAACAAAACAAAACAGAAGAATTTTTCTAGCTGGGCATGCCAGTGGTTCCAGCACTCAGAGTCTGAGGCAGGAAGATTACCCTGTGGTAAAACCCTGTCAAAAGACTAAACCTCAAATTTCAAAATCTGCAGTTTTTTCCTTTTTGGTGAAGACACAAGGATGTAGCTTGGATTCTGCCCATTCTCTGTGAGAGTGGATCATTTAGTATGAAATAGAATTTCCGTGTTTCTCAATCCATACTAGAAATCAGTTTTTTACTGTAGCTTTTTGAACTGTGTATATATGTCCTTGGCCCTTCCCTAGAGCACATGAGGGCCGAGCTTCCATCCCAGGTGCTGGTCCTGGAGGAGCTCTTGCGCACCCAGAATGACCTCCAGGTGTCCCTCTATTCTACTTTGTGAGCTGGGCTTCCAGGGGATGCCACCATGCCTAGCCTCACTGAGACTTTTTTTTTTAAGTAGATATGGTGTTATTTATATTGCAAAATCAACCAAGACTGTGCTTTAATTTTCTTCTGTGTATGTTTGTTTTTAAGCTGGAGTCTATGGAGCCCAGGCTGCTTTAACATTTTATGTTAAAGTGTCAAGGCTATAGTCCTCACGATTGACCTTAAACACACTTGCAGGAGCTTGCTAAACAGCAAGAAAGGCAGCCTTGAAAGTAGCTAAGCAGCTGTGGAGCAAGAAGAAACGTTTGCATTTCTTTGCCAGGGACTCCACATCCAAGCGTGGTGCACACTGATAGTCTATCAGCTGATAGTCTATCAGGGAGCTGTTGTGCTAAGTGTGTGGCTCAGGTTTGTCTAGTGTGCCTGAGGTCAGGGACTAACTCCCAGCAGCTCACACAGCATGCACAGCAGATCTCATGGGCTGCAGTAGGCAGCCGCTGAACCTTGGTTGGACAAGAAAGGGAAATTTCACTGAGGCTCTCTTGAAGAGGTAACAGTGTTCTTTAACGTGCTGACATCATCACTAAATGATATTTAAAACACTATAAAACTGCTTCATAATTTGAATTTAGACAGGAGTCAATAATAAAGTAGATTATTATCAAAGTATATTTCTAATATTTACAATTTTTTTGCATCTCATTCATTTATTCACAGCTGCCTGAAGTACATGAGATGTGACAGTAATCCTAAGTGCTCCTGTCCCTCTACTGCTCAGACATGGAGAATGGGCTGTATGGATAGTATTGGGGAACAAATAAGCAGATGAAACTACCCATTAGGACAGTGTGGTAAATGAAGGGAGGAGGAGGACGGTGCAGGACTCAGACCCAGGGCAGCACACATGCTAGGCAGGCACTCTACCACTTAGGTCTTTCCAGCCCTAGAATTACTTCTTGTTTCGAGCCAGCATCTTGCTGTGTAGCCTAGGTTAGCCTCCAATTCAGGGTCCTCCTGCCTCAGCCTTCTGCTGCTGGGATTACAGGTAGGCACCAAGTACACTCATTTTTAAAACTGTTCAGGAAACATCTCACTGGTAAGTGAACTTAAGCAGATTCAAAGGAGAAGGAATGAGCCATGGAAAAAACACACAAGGTGGCCCCTGACTTGTGGTTTGATTTAGGGTTTTGAAAAAATTACACACACTTGGTACTTTCCTTGTTTCCTCTGTGGTGAGCCACTGGAGGTTTCCGAGACGTTGTGCGATCTACTGTGGTACTTTAAATCCTGTATTGAGGATTCACAGGAGAGGCAGGATAGATGCTGAGGGTGCAGATGGCGCTCTGCAGTCACCCAGGGAAGACTGGCAGGTGACGGTGGGACTGGAAGAGTCCAGGTAGTCTGAAGGTAGAATGGGTTGGGTCTAGAAGGTGAAAGAGTATACAGAGTGGTTCTAGGCTAGGAACCTGAAAATTACCAAGCCTGCAACAAAACCCCCTGCTGGTTTTGAAACCAAAATAAGCACAACCAGGAGGTAAACAGCAAAGATTTAAGATCTGTTCCGGGCAGGAAGAGCATAAGATCCATTCCCAAAGAAGTCTCCACAAACTCGGGAAGAGCTGGGCCATGCGTAGTCCTATTTATTATACAGCATATATGTATCTATAGTAGCCCACCCATTCGAGGCATGCTAGTTTAAGGTCACAGTTTACAAAGAGACTTCACATACCTTTAGACAGGAGCATACATGTGGCAGATTATAGTCTGAAGATGCCTCTGTGTGCTCAACTTGTGAAACCATGTAAATAAAATACTTTGAGATGTCTGCTACATTAGTGCCTTTTGCTGTGACAAAACACCATGACCAAAGGCAACTAAGAAATCATTTAATTGGGCTTAGTTACCGAGGGTCAGAGTCCTTGATGGCAGCAAAGACAGGTGCTGAGCACTCATCTCAAACCCAAGCAGGAGGCAAAGAGATGTGGAGTAGCTAATCTTCTGCAACCTGCAGTCACTCTTCCTCCACCAAGGCCAGGCATGACCCTACCCAAACAGCCACAGACTGAGGATCAAGGAAGAGAGCATGAGAGACATCTCATTCAAACCGTTGCCTCTGCCTTGCTTAGTTACTAACCTAGAACAGAGGCAGATGCTGTACCATTGACCTATGTCTGCACCCCCCTTTTCTTTATAAGACTTTGGGCTCTGGTCAAAACTACCCAGCCTAGCCCTGAACTCACTCTGGCCGGAGACATGATCCTTTGTCAGCGTCCAGAGGAGCTCACTTACAAGGCATTCATGTCTGTGTCGTGAAATGACAGTGTTTAATGAAGCCAGATAATCCAGTTCCTTAATATTTAAAATGGGGGGGGGGGCGGCTGGAAGTCAGCCGTTCTTAAAGGGCCCTGACTGTTCAGTAATCGAATGGCCTTGAGTCTGACTAAAGGTTGTAAATCAGTTTCAAGTTTCTCATTTTCTGTGCCTTGTGCATTGAGAAGACAAAATAACAACTTTAACTAGACACGGCTTTGTATTTCAACCCTGCTCCATCTCTGACTGACATTCACAGCTTCTCACACGGGAGCCTGGTGTATTCATAGAGGATTTCAGTAAGTTGGGTGTAAAATAATCTCTCATTAGGAAGGTGAGACAGTAGGAATGCACCGGGCTTCTCCTTATTTGGAGCACCGTGTTGTCCAGGCTGTCCTGTCCTCTTAGGAGCCTGCCTGGTAACCGGACAGGTCGGGCAAGTAGAGACTGAATTAATTGTCTAAGGTTCCACAAGGGGACTTTTTTTCCCACGTCACAGGCTGTCCTTGCTGGGAATTGTGGGTGCAGGGAGAAACAGCAGAAGCCACCGGCGAGCAAGCAGCCCGGTGGGAGACTGGAACGGGCTCCGGGACAGGGTCCCCCCCACCCGCGTGCCGGCGGCTGCGCCCGCGCCTGCCCTTGTTTGGCCGCGCGGCCTCGGGGGCGGTGCCGTCCGCGTCAGCGGCGCCCGCGGTGACGGCGACGTGCGGCCCGCGCCACTGCTGCCCGCGGACGCCGCGGACCCCCGGAGCTCATGGCCCAGGCGAAGATCAGCGCCAAGGCCCACGAGGGTCGCTTCTGTCGCTCCTCGTCCATGGCCGATCGCTCCAGCCGCCTGCTGGAGAGCCTGGACCAGCTGGAGCTCAGGTGAGGACGAGCGAGCGCGCGGGGGGCGCTCCGGGTGGGCTCCCCATCCCCGGCGAGCGCGGCCTTCCCAACTTCCGGAACCTTCTGTGTGTGTGTGTGTGTGTGTGTGTGTGTGTGTGTGTGTGTGTGTGTGTGTGTGTGGTCCCGCTACCTTTAACTTTCAAGTTGTCAGTAATGCTCCTGGAGAGAGGCAGAGTTTAGTGTTGGTCCTGCACCCCCCCCCCATTGTAGTAAGTTTCTTTACCCCAAACCATATCATAGTAACACAAGAGTAAGGAAAATTCCAGACTGCCCCTCCCACGGCCAGTGAGAATTAGATCCACCAGGGGCCGCAGGGGTTGCCGGAGTTGGCTACCGTCTTTCTTTCGTTCTAACCACGTGCAGTGCCCTCCGCAGTCTGTCCGTATGTGTTGTGCATTTAGAAGATACTGGTAGTGACACCTTAGAAGTGGCAGCCAGAGGCCTGAGAACACAAAAGGCAGGAGTCATACTCGGTCTGCCTAAGGTTCTATCACGGGATCAGCCTCATAGTAAAATATTGAATACGAGCAAATGCTGCAAACACTTTGTTGCCTGTAACAATCTGAAACCCTACACATCTGGTGGAAACGGTAACGCCTCCAAAGTTGTGCAAGTTTTGGTTGTGTGCGGGTATTGTTCAATGAAACTCTTATCAGGGCACCTCGACTCTCCTGGGACTGCGAACATGTTCCCAGTTTTCTCCAGGTTCTGCATAAGCAAAAGAGTATGAGCCAAAGTCTTGAGTCTTGCGTGCCTTTCTTTATCTCCCTCCATTTGTCCACCAAACACACGGAAGTGTTTGCGCAGAAAACTACAAGCGAGACATTCATTAACTACTTTTGGAAGCAAAACCAGAAGGTGAGACATTTTCCACAATTTCCTGCGTAGCCACAAGAGAAGGCTGAACCATATGTCCCCAACCCGGAGTGAGGCCAAGCGTTAAAGCCCTTCTCTTCTGAAGAGAGGGGAATGCTTCCCTCTGGGAAGTAGGCGCTGAACTTTGACAGTATATTCTCAGCCGCTCAGATTTCTTTTTTCCTTCCTTGAAAGGGTTCTGGAACTTGTTGCTCTTCTTGAAGCTGAGTCATTGTCCTGAACCAGAATTCATGCCTCCCAAGTGCCGGAGGCGGGGGAGACTCCTGGAAGCCTTGGTTTTGAGAGGTGTTGCATTCAAATGTAACATTCGATTAATGTAGAAGGAATTCTGAGTATTGCACATAAGCGATTCGGTTCTGTTACTTAACGGTTGCGCTGAGCGGGGAGTTGGATTAGTGTGTGTTTAATGGCTCAAGGGGTAGGGTCCTTTTTTAGAAGGCACCTGGACTATCCACAGAGCACGACACAATTAAAAGTTAGTTTTAAGTGTGGGGGATGGAGAAAAGATGAAGCTTGTGTGAGTTCCCCCTGCGAGCTTCCTTAGAGTCCGCGCGTGCGTAAGGCAGGGGTTTGGTGCTGTTCAGCGCTCTTGTAGCTTCCTTTGCCTTTTCCCTTCCGTTGTGTGGACTCTGTTGACCTTGAAAGGCACTTTTCCCTAGTGAACCGAAACCACCCCAAAGGCTTTGTGTCCCGGAGGATGGACTGACCTCAGGGATGCCGGAAATGCTTTGAAGTGTTTAGCCCTGCTTTACAGAGCAGATTGCCGTTTGTATCTAATGGTTTGTAACACTAACTACGCTTTGGGACAGTAAAAAAAAAGTCTGTCTTCTACAGCCCCTCTAAAGAAGTAGCCCTGTCCTTTCTTGATCTTGGCAACCAGCTCTATGGGATTCTGCACTTGTCGTGGCTAAGTACCCGACTAGGTACTTTGCAGTGCTTACCCTAGCTTATAAACAATACATCTATCTGCTTGCAAGGCCTCACATCTCTGAGGGAGTTACCATTTATCTGTATTCTACAGATGAGAAATTGAGGCTCAGATACAAACACCGAGTTGCAGTCAAGAGCTGTGGGCTTCACGTTTGAACACTGGAAGATGGGCTGCTCAGATCAAACACCAGGTGCCCTATTGTTGAATATATCATCTTTCAAACTGTCCAGTAGGCATAAGAATGAGCTTTTACTAAAGAGAAGAAAATCACTTTAGCATTTAATTCAGTAAATATTGAACACCCAGCACATGCTGAGTATTGAGTAGCTTCTAGAAGCTGTGGATGATAAAGAAGCTGTCCAAGGGCTGGGTTTTGGAGATTGGCAGAGGGAGAATGGATAGGAGGTAGGACTGGGAAATTGGCTGTTCATACATTTCCCAAAACCGATCCCCTAGTGAGTAGTTCCTTCCCTGGCCACCCAGGCAGGAAATGGCGGATGCCTCAGGGGCCAGGGAAATGCTCCATTCCCTTGCTTTGGTTTCTTACTGTTTAAGGTTCCTGTTAGGCTGTCCCAGTGTTCCCAGACTTACATAGCTAGTCAACACCATATTTAATGTGGAGTAATAGTGTGTAATTTGAAAGAACACTTTTCATATGCCTTGTAATTTGAAATTTCTAAAACCCTCGAGGAGGAGAAGGAGGAGGAGGAGGAGGTTATTATCTCTAGGCTGTGAGAACTCCAGGCTGGAAGGGAGCTTAGTCACTAGGATGCTTGTCTAGCATGTTCAGAACCCTGCGTTTGATACCTGGCTTCAGAAAGCCAGCACGGTAGTGCACACCCATAGTCCCAATCCTAGAGACAAGAGGACCAGAAGTTCAAGGTCATCCTGGGCTGTGTAGTGAGTTCTGGGCCAGCCTGGGATACGTGAAACCTGTGTGGGCTGAAAAGAAGAAGAAACTGAGGGACTAGGTGCCTTGCTGTAAGGCTAACGTACATGTGAGTGGTGCCGCCAGTGATCAAAATGTGACATTTTGGTGACAGAACCTTACTGGCAGTATCAGGAATTACGGCAGAAGCCAGGGCCTCACATGGAGCTTCGTCTGGGAGTTTAAGAACTTGTTGTGGAAAAAGCCCCATAAACCCACGGATGTGAACGCTTGCCGTTTCCCTGTTTATGGAAACACACGTTTTAAGCGAATGAGCTTGTGTCCGTGACAGTAAGTCTAGAATAGGCACCGCGAATCTCGTGCGCTGACGTCATACATAGCGTTTGGCTCCTGCTGAAGTTTTCAGCCAGCTCTGCCAGTTGGCGCGTCAAACTCTGCTCCTGCTTTGCTTCGGTCGGCCACACCCAAGGGCTCCTTATCCCTGGTGCCCTGGGTGAGGAAATTTCGGCCAGGTCAGCAGCGGTTCCTCACACAGTTTGGGTGGTAGCTCCCAGCGGTCAGTTTTGTGAGCCAGTGACGCCTGCCTGCACACGCCCTCCTCCAGTTTGCGCTGACACCTCCACTGCAGGCTCATGAGATGCCCGGGGCAGGGGACCAGGTGAGGATGCTCCAGTTTTATGCTCACGAAAATCCTTACCACGATGTCTTTGCCGAAGCCTGCTTTGAGTGCAGCTTTCCAGAGGTGCCGCCCAGTCCGCTGTGATGGGACGCTGCTTCCTTCCCCAATTTGGACATGTAGCTGGATCCCAGTCCACACAGAAATGCCCCTTGCCGACAAGAGGAGAATCCCCACATGAGTTTATTAAGACTGAATGTTTATCTCTGTCTATCTTAGCTACTTAAGACACGAAAGGAAGGGAGGCAGGCAGTATTTAAGGTTTAGTCACTAATCTCAGACTAACGGAAAAGCTACATAGACAAAATTCTATGAGTCGAGTTGAAGTGCAGCAATAGCTGATAAGCAGTGCAAACCTAATAAACAAGCCGAGCAGTGAGGACTGCTGGCCTAGTGCCCACGAAGGCCCTGGTTCCATCCCCAGTACCGATAAACCAGGCATCAGCGTGTGTGATGCCAGCACTCGGGATGTAGAAGGCAGCTTGGGATACAGGGGGTTCTGTCTCAAAAGGAAGAGGCTGAGGGGGAAGTAGATGGGCAGTGCTGCCCTGGCTAGTTGTAAAGTCAGCCTGATGGACACAAGCTAGAGTCATTTGGGAAGAGGGGCCCTCAGTAGAGACAATCCCTCCATAAGATCAAAGCCTTGCGGGACAGTAATTCTCAGCTTACTAACGATGTAGCCTTGTGTTGTGGTGACCCCCCCCCACCATAAAATTATTTTCATTGCTGCTTTGTAACTGTAACTTTGCTACTGTTATGAGCAGTACTGTAAATATCTCTGTTTTCTGTTGGTCTTAGGGAACCCCTAAGAAAGGGTCATTTGACCTCCCACACACAAAGGGGTCGCCACCCACAGGTTGAGAACCACTGCTGTGGGTTTTGTTTTTTTAAATTAGTGATAGGCGTAGAAGAAGCCAGCCTATTGTGAGTGGTGCCCATGCCTGGACTGGGGCTTCTGGGTTTTATAAGAAAGACTGAGAAATCCCTGCGGGAGCAAACCAGTAAACAGCATTTTTTTGTGGGCTCTGCATCACCCCCTGCCTCCAGGATCCTGCCAGGTTTGAGCACCCAGACATCCTCCAGTGATGAAGAGTCAGCAGACTAAACCCTTTCCTCCCCATGTTGCTCTTGTTGATGCTGACCTGTCACGTCAGTAGAAACCCCTACTAAGAGTGGTGCCAAGGGAAGTGTTGATTTCCTTCAGGGGCAGCTGTGAACAGTTCCGGCACAAGGGAAACAGAATTTTTAAAAAGACCCTGAGTATCAGGAAGAATGTCGTAGGAAGGAGGCATGGCAGAAGTACGGCCATGATAAATGGATATGTAGGTATGTATGCCATCCTGGCAGTTTCTACTGTGTATAAAGAACGTTCAGGGGGGAAAGCCCCCTTCAATCACTGTGTCAATCAATCAGTCTCTTTCTCTCTGCGGTAGAGCAAACTCAAGGTTTCACAGCTCTAAGTGCATTCTGGACTAAGGTCCTCATCCCTAGCTCTCAGTAGCGTCTCATCCACAGGTGAAGGGTGTGTCCCCCAGGATGTTTCCTTTTTAATCTGTTTCATTATCTCCATGTGCTAAGGGCTGTACCTGATTACTGTAAACGAACCCCTTTTTAGCACAGCGTCCATCTCTCAGTCACATTTAACACAGGCACAAGTGTTCAAATGGAATCCGGGCTTTCAGAGTCTGCATCATTTCTCCAAACGCTGGAGTCATAATTAGAGTTTCTAATTATAAACAGTTCCCATTTGTGCCAGCTGGGCCTCTCTCGTACCTACCGGGCTCTCATTTATCTGCTGGAGGACGTGCCGTGCCGTCGTGCAGCGGGGCTGGAGGAAGCCTGTTGCCTACCAGCGCCTTACGTTGTTCGGTTTCAGCCGGACTTGTCCGTACAGTGCTTGCCTGCTTTGACCGGCTCTTTAGAGCCATGCTGGACGTGGGACGCCTCATAGAGCTATTCTGGGGTTTGACAGGTGGGTGACATGTGGACGGGATGAGAATGGGAGGTCATGGGTTGGTGTGTGCTAATAAAAGGCTGGTGACATTGTTCCCTCGTTGGCCGCTTCCACGAGTGATCTGGCTTGGAACGCCTGTCCGTGGCCTCGCATTCTGGGGTCAGCTGTTACTGTTTCTCTACAAAAGCTGGAAATGTCGTCACGGTAATCCATAAGAAAGTGAGCTGGAAATAGGAAACTCAAATGTGTGCGATGTTTCTCTCCTGGTTTTCATGAGTCGGCGCCCTAGTTCTGAATCATGGAGTTTGCTCACCTGTACGTGAAGTGTGTATGTGTGTGTGTGTGTGTGTGTGTGTGTGTGTGTGTGTGTGTAGCTGGCGGAGGTAGCGGTTGAAGTGTTCTGTAATATGGTTGTGTGATCATGGTTTTACATCGAAACCTTAAAGAGGCTTTCCCTTTAAATTTGGGGAAAAGCACAAACCTCATCACTGCACTGTCTACTATATTACCAAAAGACCTTAGTGCGTAGTCTAAAGAAAGAAACAACTGGATGAGAGACATAAATTCTTTTATCCCTCCCCCCCCCACACACAGCATGATCATTAACTCAGAAGAAATGATGGAAGTGACAGGGCAGGGAGCAAAATTTAATACAATCAGTGTTGCCGGTTGTAAGCTGACCCTAAAACAGCATGTCTCAAGCCAGTAATAATCGGCTAAAACTACAATTAAAACAATCTGCAGCAATGTCCGCAAGGTTTCTGGAACACTCCGAAATCTCTAAGCCAGCTGAGAAGAATATTTCAAAGCTAGTCACATACAAAACTGATGTAGACAAAGGGATGCAAATTAAACTACACTGTCAAAGGAATGTCCAACTGCCCTGTATTTTCAAGAAATCAGACATACAGTTTATGTGGAGGAGGAAAGGTATCTAAATAGCGACATCATCGTTAGAGAAGATTTGGGAGGAGGCCGTTCTACCAGTTACTGCACCGTACTAAGACCAGGATGTTGAAAAGCAGCGGGCCGGGGGCAGTGAGCATATTGAGGGAGCATTTCCTATAGGTCACACGGGATGTGGAGTAAAGAACTCTCAGGAAAATGCCGGTTTGGTTATTGCCTAACGCCCGAGTGTATTCTAGTGGCCTAAAGAAATAAATACCAGGGAGGTAAAACTATAAATAGAACATGGGATGTGAGAAAAGCACTTAGAACTTGAAGAGGATAAACCACAAGGCAAGGCCACAAAAGATGACTCCGTCCCATCAAAAGGATCTCCCCCTGGCGCTCAGGAGTCAGAAGCAGGAAAGCAGTCTGAGTTACATAGTGAAACCATGTCTCAAAAAACTAAAAAGAGGGGCTGGAGAGATGACTCAGTGGTTAAGAGCACTGGGTGCTAGGGTAGAGGGTAGGAGTTGGTTCCCAGCACCCATCATAACCACCCATCACTCCAGTTCCAGGGGACTCGAAGCCCTCCAGTACTGCAGACACTGCACATACACAGTGCACTTCCATGCCTGCAGCTAAGACACTCAGGCACACGGACCGACAACAAACCTTTCAGGACGCACAGAGGCGCTCTTAACTAGTAGGCTAAACTGCAGTGGTCCCGGGTGCTTGAGGCTGAAACAGCACAGGGCACCCTGGGTAATAGAGTTTTATCTCTGGGGATGGGGGGAGTTTCGGTTCAATGAGGGCCATCCCGAACCAAGCTCGCAGGGCAAACGACTTCCATGTCTATGGCCAATAAGGAGTTCATGTCTTGAGCATGCAGACTCCATGTGCACACGAGTGGCCATCTCCGAGTGGCCAGAGCGGAGAGAATCAGGCAGATCCACACGTGACATAGAGTGCAGTGCCGAGACCCAGGAGCCAAGTGGTTCTGAAGAGTCAGGTGAAAAAAGAAGTGGGTACAGATTTAAAATGCAAATAGACAGCTTTTAAAAGAACAAGTCCACATAAGTGACCTTGGTCTCTAAGGTCACCCTGGGGAAGGAAATAGGAGCCCAGCCCGCAGAGGAGCCCGAGGGAGTCGAGAGAGTGACTCACGCTTGCTGCACCACTACTGAGTCAAGAGTATTGCTGCAAGCTCTAGGCCCGCCTTTGGAACCCTGTTACAATTTATTTTTTAAGTAGTGCTCGCCACTCCCACCCCCAACACCCCCCCTCCCCGCGCCTCCAGCTCCCTCCCTCCCCCAGTTTCTCGGCATAGTCTGACTGTCCTGGAACTAGCTCTTATAGACCAGGCTGGCCTCAAACTCATGCCAACCACCTGTTTCTGCCTCCTGAGTGCTGGGATTGACGGCGTGCACCACCATGCCCAGTGATGCATTTTTGCAGTCCGGCCTTTTTGCAAAGCTTTCTTACTTGAGCTGATTTAGGTGGCAGCTGAGGGAAAATGATAGGAAGGACACTGTCGCCCTGACACCTGTTTTGCTTTGCCAATCCACACAGGGTTGAAGCTTTGAGAGACGCGGCTACTGCTGTTGAGCAAGAGAAAGAAATTCTTCTGGAAATGATCCACAGCATCCAGAACAGCCAGGACATGAGGCAGATTAGTGATGGTGAGAGCGTTTCCACGGAGGGGCGCCGCCTACCTCTAGGGCGTCTGATGAACGCGAGCCGGCTGACTTGGGGTGCGCCTGCTCCCCAGTTCAGTGTTAACCGCAGCTAGAAAGCAGCTGCAGCCCTCATTGTCTCCGTGTGCTCCCCACCCCCACCCCAGCCTGCCAGCTCCAGAAGGGCAGGCGAGTCAAGCAGCCTTCCTCAGACCCACAGTGCTTTTCACTGCGGGGACAGCAAAGGTGGAGGAGCGAGGTGGAGGTGGAGACTTGGCGAGGTGGTCTGACGTGTGACGGGCAAAGGAATTAAAGTAAAATGCCCTGCCGTGGTCCTCTGAGCAGTATAGCAGCCAGGGAGGAGTGGGTCACTGAATACAGTGGGCTAGAGAGCTGGGGACGTGAGCAGTTGAACTCCGGACCCATAGTGCTGTCTGTCCGCAGTGGGTCCTTCCTAGTCCTTCGCCGTCATGGCGAAGGATCCATGCATTAGGGAGTTCTGGACCTGGGAAAGAAGGGAGTTGTTGCCGGTTTTGTGTAAATCTTGAAATGTTACCAGAGTCCATGGTCACCACAGCTTCCTGTCGCTGGCAAAGACTCGCACCCAGGGCCAGCTCGAGTCTGTCTGCAGCGAGAAGGACAGGGCTTGCTCGGGAGCGCAAGGGCAATAGTGTGCGCTGTGTTTCAACAGACGTGAGCTTCGGATGTGCACACCGGGCCTCGGCTGTGCCCCATCTCGAGCCCTAGCCGTTCTCCCAGCTAAACTCTGCTTGCTCTGAAGTCACTCGATTTCCATCCCAGCTATAAATGCCTCTGCCAAATGTGTGGACAGACTTGGGATGATAGCTGCTCCTGCTGTGGAAAGACTTCCAGGGAAAGACATTCTGTGACTTAGCACTGTCATTGGGCACTACCTCAGTTAATCTTGCATGCTGTATTATTGTTGATGGTGGTGGTTTTTTTCTTTTTTTGGTTTTGTTTTGTTTTTTGTTTGATTCATTCATTTATTTATTTATGGTTTTTCAAGACAGGGTTTCTCTGTGTAGCTTTGGAGCCTGTCCTGGAACTCACTCTATAGACCAGGCTGGTCTCAAACTCACAGAGATCTGCCTGCCTCTGCCTCCCGAGTGCTGGGATTAAAGGCGTGCGCCACCACCACAGCCAGGTGTATTTTTGGTTTTTAAGCTTTAAAATTTTCACAGACGTGTCTAATACAAAATCGAGGTAGCCACGTGCCTACTTTGGCTTTGCAGATGTGTGAAGTTTCTGTCTCCTACTGACCGATGTTTCGTGTTTAGGAGAAAGAGAGGAGCTGAACCTGACTGCAAACCGCCTGATGGGACGGACCCTCACTGTCGAGGTCTCAGTGGAGACAATTCGGAACCCCCAGCAGGAGGAATCCTTGAAGCATGCCACGAAGATTATAGATGAGGTGGTCAGTAAGTTCCTGGATGACCTGGGAAACGCCAAGAGTCACTTAATGTCACTCTATAGTGCCTGCTCATCTGAGGTGCCACCTGGTCCCGTTGACCAAAAATTTCAATCGATTGTAATCGGTTGCGCCCTTGAAGATCAGAAGAAAATTAAGCGGCGTCTGGAGACTCTGCTGAGGAACATTGACAACTCAGACAAGGCCATTAAACTGTTAGAGCACTCGAAAGGAGCCGGTCCCAAGACTCTGCAAAACGCCGATGGCAAAGTTAATTAGTCTACAAGCCCACAGGCCCTTTACCAAGGCTGTAAAAAAGGAAAAAAAACCACTATTTTAAATAACTAGTTCTTTACGTTAGGCATAACCACTTATACCTCATACTGATGATTGTTTCAGATGAGGGAGTAGCCCAGTGTCAATAGACACACAAATAACCCTTAAAACTAGACATATTTCAGTCTCTGACTCAGAAGTTTTGGACAGAATTCCTGTCTTGAACTGGACTTTAGGGCTGTATATTTTATTTCTGAAGATGCACACATAGTACTTGGGAAAATAAATAAAAGGGAAACGCATCACTGCTCTTTCCTTGACTTCAGTACAGATGCACCCAGCCCCTGGAGCAGTGTAGTCACACCAGTGTGAACAGAGCACCCAGCCCCTGGAGCAGTGTGGTCACACCAGTGTGAACAGAGCACCCAGCCCCTGGAGCAGTGTGGTCACATCACACAGTGTGCCTAGAAAGATAAAGGGAAACACATCAGAACCTCACCCTGCATGTTCTCAATATTTGAGCCATCTGTTTTCTGCATCTCATCACATATCTTATGTGTGTGGAGGCATGACATAAAATGTAAGGAAACCACTTTACCACGATGATGGTCCATATCCACCAGGCAGTGGCCTGTCTCCACTGTGGGTGAGAATGGGCCACCCTGAAGTCACTGCATGTGCAGTGGGAGCAAGCGTGCTACTGACCCAGCCCCTTTTCTGTGGTCATGTGGGTGGTTTCAGCTTGTTGCTATGACGACAGCACATTTATGTCCTTAGAGCTTTATTCTGTTCTTGGTCTTCTTTGTATAAAATTCCACTAATGGGTCCATTGAGCCAAAAGATAGATACATTTTCATGGCCTAAAAACGTATTTCTAAATTTTTATAAGTTTTATCAGTTTGTACTGCCTTCAGTAATTAAAAGAATCCATGTCACAGAAGTCTGTAGCACTGGGCATTGCTTTTCTCCCATCGGGCACCAAGCCCCTTGTTAACCACACCTTGTTTGCTGACCAGCAGGTCACCTTCCTATGACTGAAGAGCAGCGCTGGCCATGGGCCACTCCAACGCTGCACCAGCTCCTCAGCACCAACTCTGAAGTACGTAGCCTCCAACACAAGCTTTATTAGGATGTAGAGATTTTCCTACCAAAAGACAAAGATGGACTATATGGACCATTACCATTCAGCACAGCTATTCCTGAGCTGAATTTCTGTGCTGAAATGCTAAGCCAGTCTCAGGAAAGGGTCCCCAGCTGAGGTAAAGCATCTGCCCGCAGACTGGATGCCTGCCACCAAGCTCGCTGGCTCCATATTTTCTATCACCTGGTTCTTTGCCAACTTTTTTCTGTTTGTTTGTTGGAGACAGGGTTTCTCTGTGTTGCTCTGGCTGTTCTGGGACTCACTCTGCAGACCAGGCTGGCCTCAGACTCAGAGATCCTCCTGCCTCTGCCTCCAAAGTGCTAGGATAAAAGGCGTGCATCACCACTGCCTGGTCTTTGCCAACTTCTTCTTTTCAGTTGTTTTTATTGAGCTATATATTTTTCTCTATTCACCTCCCTTTCTCTCCCCTCCCCTCCTACCCTCTCCCATGGTCCCCATGCTCCCAATTTACTCAGGAGAACTTGTCTTTTTCTACTCCCTATGTAGGTTTTGCCAGCTTCTTAAGTACACAAATTTTCCCTAGGCTCTCAAATGCCAGCCTCTTCGATTCCTTCCTAACCTGGGAAGATAAACCCGCCTCCCCAGTGATGTGGGAGTGTCATATCAATCTGTTGCTTTCATTGGTTAATTAATAAACTGCTTGGCCTGATAGGTTAGAACATAGGTGGGTGGAGTAAACAGAACAGAATGCTGGGAGGAAGAGGAAGTGAGCTAAGACTCCATAGCTCTCCTCTCTGAGGCAGACACGATGAAGCTCCGACCCAGGATGGACATAGGCTCGAATCTTCCTGGTAAGCGCACCTTGTGGTGCTACACACATGAATAGAAATGGGCCAAGCAGTGTTTATATGAATACAGATTGTGTGTTGTTATTTTGGGGCATAAGCTAACCAGGCGGCCAGGAGCTGGGTGGCAGGAACGCAGCCCCGCAGCTCCTACTACACCCCAGTCCACTCGTTCTCCGTCCATCCAGAAAGTCCTTCAGGAATGCTGGCTATCCCCTTGACCTTTGTATTCTTTGCCTCATTTCCTTCTCATTCTTTATAGATTTTATTTGTGTGTGTCTGGCGTGACCTCACCGAGACAGAGGAGGGAAGTGAGACATGTATCCTGGAGCTGGAGTTACAGGAAGTTGAGTTGTCTGAAAATGACTGCTGAGATTTGAACTCTGGTCCTCTCCAAGGGTCACCAGTGCTCTTAACCCCTGAGCCATCTCTTTTGCTCTCGTTCTTTTTCACAATGGATTTTTTTTTGGTATGGTCCCTAATTGCTTCTCACAGACTTGACTGCTCCGCCACCACCATGACTCGCCGCGCTGTACAATATCGCTCCTCCACCACCGCCGTGACTCTGGCTGCGCTGTACTGTCTCCAGCCCTCTGACCCGCCAGGTGTGGGCCTTCTAACTACAGTCTTTCCTCTGTCTCAACTGAACGTGACATTTTAGGACAGCCCCTCTGCCACCCCTATCCCTGTTTGTTCTGCTCCCCACGACTCATCTCCGTATCAGCTAAGCTGTTTTCTGCCTTTCCCTTTAAAGACGGACTCTAGCGTGGCAGCTAGCAGGAGCAGCCTGCTCCCATTCACCAACCAAGGGCGGAGTTTTCACTCTTAACTTTCACAGTTAAAAATGAAGAGGTATAGCGCTGACATTTGAGTGGTTTATGGACCCTTCCTTGAAAGGTGGTCCTGAGGCTCTGAGAGTCTGGAGAGTCGATACTTGAGCTAATGAACGCGCAGCTCGGCTCCCCTGCTGCCGGCTCCAGGGGATACTAGTTTTCAAAGATGTTAAATGAGAGGGTTTGGGTCGGAGGATCTGGGTCTTCCTAGGGAGTGGCTAATCTTGAGGAGAGGCTGTGGTGCCTTAAATGGCTGCCAATAGAAGCGCTGCCCTTCCTGAAGGGCCGAAAGAGGGCGCTCGGGTGCCTTAGAGCCTGAAACCCAGCGACCCACCCCCAGGAGGCTTTCACCTCAGCTGCTGGGGGAAGTGGAGAAACACCTCGGGCTGTGGAAGGGACGTGAGCAAACCCGAGTCAGGAAGGCTGAAGCCTGAGGCACAGCTAACAGGAGATGGTGTCGTGAAGAGGGAACTGGCCTTGCTGGGTGGATCCAACGTGGTCTTTAAGCTTCTGTGTCCCATGCTTGTCAAACCGGCGCTGGGGGAGGCTCAGGCCACAGTGGGAGAAAAGGCTAGACTGTATCACAGCAGAAAGGAAGCGCTACGAATCCCAGCTTCAGGACCTTGAGCAGCAGAGCAGCAGCAGTTCAGCAGGCTCAGACAGCAAAGGCAGCGGCCCCGGGAAGACCTGTCCCATCGTAGGTGGAGGCGGGAGGATGAGGCAGATCCAGGGTCTACCATAGAGTAGCTCATAAAATACAGACATCCTCCCCCGCCAAAGTGAGTACTGTGCGCAGAGACACAAGTATAGGATGGAGTCAGTTCAGTTCCTCACCAGAGTGCTTGGACTTCACCCTGAAAAGAGATCAGCTCCCGGATGTGATGGTACAAGCCTCTCATCTCAGCCCTTGGGAGGCAGAGACAGGCAGACCTCTTCTAATTCAAGGTCAGCCTGGTCTACACGGGGAGTTCAGGCCAGCCAAGGCTACGTAATAAGTCTCGTCTTTAGCTTTAGCAGAGACCAAAGTGATCCCACCCTTATAGAGTTAATTTTACCTTTATAAAAATTATTATCACTATTTTATGTATCTGGGTGTTTTGCCTGAATGTAGGCCTGTGTCTTTGGAACGTACTGGATCCCCCAGAACTGGCTATACAGGTGGCTGTGGGCTGCTATCAAACCTGGATCCTCTGCAAGAGCAACCAGTGTGCTTGACCAATGAACCATCTCTCTAGCCTGATTCCCATTTAAAATCGGAAAGTAAGAAAGAATTTACCAGTCTCTGGAAGCAACCGAGTACCTGAACTAAAAGGCTCAGAAAAATTTGAATACCAAATATTTGCCTTTTTCAAGTGGCCGATCCTGAGAAATGATATTATATATATCTAAAGGCCATCTATATGATGATGCTATTTTGAAAGCTGGGCAGCACAAGAATTAAAGAGACAGAATAAGGTCAAAACAGCTGCAAATTTGGAGGCGGCAGCAGCAAGAGGGACACGGATGAGCTTAAACTTAGCTGTCCTCTGCTTGCACATGCTCACTCGATCGATCGTATAAGGAACCGAGGTGAGGAGGACAGAGCAGGCAGTTCAGCAGAGAATGGTGAACAGCCCACTCCACGTCTTGACCAGCAAGGGGCGCGACAGGGTGGCGGCAGCACTTATGGTTTAGATCCGGCATACGTGAGTGGCTGAGTGGGTTGTCTGACACAGTGACCTAGACTTCACAGTTATTTTACACCCGAAGATGGGGTAAAGGTGTTAGGGGCCAAATGCCTCAAAACATGAAAATACCTTTAAAAGACCGGTAGTAGCCAGAAGGTAGTGTCCACGTCTTTAATCTCAGAACTCCCGGAGGATGAACATATTAGTGCACAAAGTAGCTAAGTGAGAAATACATGTGAGTTATTTGCCTATTTACTCCTTTTATTTATTATGAATGGTGTCATAAAGCTCTTGCCAGGGTGAACTCCCCCACATGGCCAAGGGTGGCCCTGCACTGCCACCGCACCCAGGTCCTTTGTGATCCACCACACACTGGTGGTCCACATCACACATACCACACCAATTTCTAGCTTCGAAATGTTTTATTGTTTTGGTTATTGGAATTCATCTTCGTTGAAACTGTAATCAAGTAGTACATTTTAAAATTGATCCCAAAGGCGTAAGTACCACTCAATATGAATGCATACAAGTAGTTTTCCCAGTCAGATTTACAAAAGCATTATTTATTAGTAACAAAAATATAGAAGGGATTACGTTTTTCCTCTGATCCAAAGATTTTATTTTGAAAATACCACGTATGAACCTCCTACTTTAGTATTCCAAGAGACAGCAGGAAAGGAACAGTGGCGGCCGTCGTCTGGAGCCTGGTGCCGGGGCAGTGCAGACCCCACTGTGGTTTATTTACCTGTATGCAGATAACTCCATTTGTACGATAGCTTTCTCAAGTTTCATATGTGAAACCCTTAAGAGTAACAAGATGTTCATGTAACTGTTAGGGTGAACAAAGCCACTGCATGG